TGCAGTCAAGTCAGTTCTGACTTAGGGAAACCCATTTCAGGGTTTTCTAAGTATTGAATTACTCAGAAGTGATTTACCATTCCCTTCTTGTGGGAGCACTCTGAGACTGTGCATCTTGGCCAAGGCCACACAGGCTGTCTCTTCTGGGGTGCACAGTGGGGAACTGAACTCCCAACCAACTTCTGGCTCTGCAGCCAGATACAGTATATAACTCACTGAGGTTGCAATTCAAAGCTTACATATTTGCAAGCTAGTTTCCATAGCAATCAAGCCAATTACACAGACCTACGTAGATGTATTTGTGATGCATTTGGCTTCAATTTTCCATAAATATTGGATCACGAAGAAAATTTTGAACATCAGGTGGCGGTTCATAGTACTTTTGAACTGGAGCTGTTGACTAGCTGAAAGAGACTTTATGAGCAAAACAAAGCAAAATAACAGAACAAAGCAGCACTTGGGGCAAAAACAAGGGGGGAAAATCACATGACTGGCATATTAACTGTGCTTAGAATTTTTTAACTGGCAAGCTGATCTTGCATATTAACTTTGGCATCTCTAATGAGGCTATTATATTTGTAAGAAAAATAATATTATTCAGAATGATATTCATAACTGTATTTACTTCAAGGACCATGCATACAGCAAATAGTAGATATGAATCTAGGTTTGGCCCTACCATTAGACAAAATGAAGCAGACACCCCCAGTAATAGGTGCCAGCGAAGAGGGCAGTGGTGGCAGTGGATTCTGAGACTCCATTGTTCCTGTGTTGGAGAACAGAGCTGTATCAGCCATGTAGCCAATCAAGTAGACCAGATAGGCAGGGTATAAATCAAATGAATAAATAAATTAAATAAATAATTTGTTCTCCAGAACCAGCCTGCCCTCCCTCAAACATGGTGAAAGATGCATAGAACCAGTCCAGCAATCCAGTTAGTGTCAGTACCTGCAATAAAAGAAGATTGCCACCATGTCCTTCACCTCAGGCAGAAAAATGTATTGGGTGGGACCTTTATTTACAGTTAAAACATGTATCTGGTCCTTGTATGCAATCCTGTATGAGAAGAATATACACATGCAGTGAATTGGTACTGTTGATGGGAGCCTAGCTAGCCATTCTTAGGGTTGCTAAGTGGATCTGATATCTTGCACTATGAAAGAGAATTGCTCGAAATTATGCTGGGATGTGGAATCCTACATGGTCTGGATCACATCTAGTTAATTCCTTTATTCCAATGTTTTCTTTTTGAGATTCTTTACACAAGAGCCCAGTCTCCAACAGGAGACCACTACAAAGACAGAAAAGACTTTTGTAAGTCCTTCTGTTCTGCTGATTTCTTACTTCCAAATGCACTTGTTCA